TCTAATAAACCCCAAAGACCGTCAGCTATACAATATCAATATAAACCAACGTAACAATTTGGATTGTGTTTCTCGAGGTCAACCAACATACTGGCCTACCGATCGGAAGAAAATACCTGACTTAATAGACTTTGCTGTCTCAAGAAAAATCGACAGGCAACTTGAATCAGCTGTTGCTGAGTTGTCTTCAGACCACTCACCAGTTCTAATAAAAATCTACAAGCGCCCGAAGATAGTTGCACAAGAATCAAGACTAGCAAGCAGAGAAACCTGCCAACTGGCTAAAATACAAAAAATGTACTAGTAGTCATATTAACATCAACCCAATATTGAATTGTGAAAACGATTTGGATGACTACATTAATGAGCTAAATAATGTCCTTGTTTCTGCTGCAACCATAGCAACTAAAAAAAGTAAAAAGCCTACGACGTGCCCAAAAATTCTAACAAATACAGAAATAGAAGAACTAGTAAAGAATAAGCGCCGTTTGCGGAGAATGGCAAAAATAGCGCTCTCCAGCAGCAAAGTTACGGTTGAAAGCAGCAGAGAGGGAGCTGGAAAGTGCACTGAAACAAGCAGAAGAACACAACGCCAAGGCATATATAGAAAAACTAGCGCCAAATTCTGCCAAAAAAATACTCGCTCTGGAAAGCACAAAAGAAATTTAAGCCTCCAATAGAAATGATTATGCCAATCAGGGACCCAAATGGTAACTGGGCACGTAGTAACGAAGAAAAGGCAAGTTGCTTTGCAAAGCATTTAAGTAATGTATTCCAGCCAAATGACGCAACTAAAAACTTTATTCTGCCGGAATTCGCTGTTAACGGACAGGAAAATCAGTTGGCATTTAAAATATCAAGCCTAGATGTGGTAAACGCGAAACAGAAACTGAATCCAAAGAAATCTCCAGGCCACAACCTCATTACATCAAAAATGCTAATAGAGCTACCAAGAGTTGCACAAGCATCGCTCTTTGAACTCTTTAATGCCATTCTAAAACTAAATACCTTCTAAACGCGAGGAAATAGTCGCAGATATTAATGATAGCCAAATCAGGCAAAGACCACACACAGACAGCTTCTTACAGACCAATAATCCTGCTACCCAGTCTTTCCAAATTATTTGAAAATATTCTGCTATCAAAAATATCTCATTTTCTTCACTGTAACAATGTGATCTTAGATCACGAATTCGGCTTTCGTGAAAAGCATAGTTCTATCGAACAAGTCAACCGAATAACTAATGAAATCAGAAAGGCATTCGAGTTCAAGGAGTACTGTTGTGCAATCTTTCTTAATGTAGCATAAGCGTTCGACAAAGTCTGGCATAAAGGTTTACTGTACAAAAAACATAAAGCTCTGCCTGCTCAATTTTATATGATACGCAAGTCATATCTGACTAACAGACAATTTACCATTAAACAATCTGAATTTATCAGTGAGGAGCATCTTGTAAAGGCTGGTGTTCCGCAGGGTAGCGTCCTCGGGCCTATTTTATATATCATATACGCTGCAGACATCCCATTAAACCGAAAAATGCAGGCCTCTACCTTTGCGGATGACACAGCTATTTTATGCCGGGATTTTAAATAAAAAACTCCGGTTTAAAACTAGACTACAAAGTCCTTATTTACAACGCAGTATTAAAACCAATTTGGATGTATGGTATTTAAGTGTGGGGTACAACCTGTGCAACTAATATTGATAAAATACAGAGGTTCCAGTCCAAAGTTTTAAGAGCACTGACAGGCGCACCATGGTACGTTCGAAACGTAAACATTCATAAAGACCTTGGTATTTTACTGGTTAAGCCTGAAATTGAAAGAAGCAGCACGAAGTACTTCACAAAGCTAAGAAATCATCCGCTAGCTAATGCTTTATGCAACCCATCGAGAAATTCCCGCCTGCAGGGAAAGGATGTTTTCGCCTTGTAAGGAGAGCACCGTAGTTTGAAACGGGCTCAGAGTTAAATAACTCGAGTTATCATGTTTGTAATTTCGTTTTTAAGATTTGTATTATAGCAGGTCTAGTAAATAAATGAAATCTGTAAAAAAATGGAAAAAATTCTGGAGGAAACACATATATTCGAAATTATAATTGACGAATTTGTTGATATTTTTAAAAGTTGAGTACTTGGGAGAGATAAGTACAAATCCTTTTTCTTAATATTTATATTAAAAACCGCCGCAATATCCGAGTGGTAAGTAGTGCGTGCTGCCATTCGGAAGGCCGAAACTCGAGTCCTAAACCGACCAAAATCTTAAATTCTATGAAATTAGCTTTTGTAATTGCCTTTGGACCGGTAGAAGAGGAGTTTAAGCGGTTACAAAGCGTCAGTTGTATATGTATGTTTATGTGTGTGAATACTTTATATATAAATTTATATAAAAAACACCCAAAAAAGAATTAAGGCACGTATATTGTGCAATAAAATTATCTGTAATTGTTGTATATTCGTGTTAAGAGACTTCGCGTTATATAATATTCTTAAATGAAACATCTTTGTGACTTGGCGGCATTTGGCAGCACTAAAAAAATATCTCTAAAACAACAGCAAATTGGATGCTCAACGCCTTTTCAAAGGTTTTCCCACAATTTATCTACACAGATTGGATGAGTTCCAAAACGTCAATTGCAAACCATACTTTGTTACGCATTCCTAAATGCAACTGTGCAACTTTGACGATATATCATGTTCCAAAATGTATCGGTACTAATCTGCTGATAGTGATATTGAATATTTAATTGTATAATTAAGCCGAAAAAAATTCCAGACTGTTGTTTCTTGTGTTTACAATCCTCACCGAACTAATGTTGTCAACCCTTTTTTTAATGCAATCTCTTTATATGTTGTTAAGTTTGATTCAGTTATAGTTTGTGGTGATTTTAATGTTAATCTTCTTGTCAAAGGCTCTTATACTAATAATTTACTATTATACTATTATATTTACTATCCAGTTGCTCTCTCTCTGTGGTCAACCGATCTCTTCCTACGCGGTTTGCAGTGAATTGCACTCCTAGTCTTCTTGGCTGCTTCTTAATTTCTGTATCTGACCATGATCTCATCTTCTGCTGTTCGGACATAAATATCGATCGTTGTTGCATAAATAAGACTATCTCATTTGAGAAGCTTTTGGCTAAGCAAATAAACGAATTTGTAAGCAATCACAACTTAATATCTCCGTTCAATCAGGCTTCAGGAAAAATGACAGCTGTAGTTACTGCGTTTCTAAAGATCACTGATGACATTCGATCCACTATGGATGAAAATAAATTCACCTTGCTTTGCTTACTTGACTTTTCAAAAGCATTTGATATGGTCAACCATGAGTTATTAAGCTTGAAGTTGAAAGCGTTCTATGGTTTCAGTATAGTGCTTAACCTTGTTGACAGGTTTCAGTTAGTAAAAAATTGGTGAATACACATCGCACCTCAAACCAATTACTTCAGGGGTGCCTCAAGGCTCCATCCTTGGTCCCCTGCTTTCCAGCATATTCATTAAGGACATCTTCAGTGTGTGCAAATTTTCAAACCTGCATTGTTATGCCGATGACATTCAGTTATATTTATCTGCACCTTTCGATCAAGCTAAAGAGTTATGTAAAAGCATTAATACTGACTTGGCTGATATCTCTAGCTTGGCGGGTGCCAGCGGTCTAATTTTAAATAAAAACAAGAGCTGTGTGCTGCCAATCAGTGCTAGAAAACTGACAAATCTGGATTTTTTGTCCCCAATATTCATAGACAATTGTCCCTTAAAGTTAGCCAGCAAGATTAAAAACTTAGGATACATTATTAACTCTAATCTTACATGCACGGATCATGTAAACTCCATAGTTAGTAAGGTTTATCTCATTCTGAGGAATTTTAGACAGTCAGCTATCTATACACCCACTGCAACCAGTGCTATACAAATTATTCTTCCGGTCGTATACTCATTATGACTCAATCTCCTAGCTATCTTTTTTCCAAGTTATTGTTTACTCGGTCCGCCAGAGTAGGTAATATTATAATACCTTTTCATAAATCACAGCAATCATCAAGGCTGTTCTTTGTCAATGCTAGTCGATTATGGAACTCTCTTCCTGCTAATTTAAGGGGGAAATTAAACAGAAGCAATTCCAAGAACCACATATATATGCATTTATAGGCCAAATTTCAAACATAGACTGACCATTTAATAATTGTTTAAATTTTTGTCATACTCAGTTCACTATATATTTTTAATTAATTTCGCCTATTCCTATAACCGTTTAAAATTTTTGAAATTCAGTGTAGAGTATATATTATGACTCGCACTTTGTATCCGTTAGTGCGATTTTCGGCCGATTAATTTTCTACATAAATTTTTAGATGTTGATAGCATCAGGATTTGAATCCGGGCCTTCCGATTGACGGTACAAAATGTTAACCACTCGGTCACTGCGGACGCCAAAATATAGACTTTTAAATTTTTAAAAAATTCCTTCTTGCTTTTAAATAAGTGATATTAATCATTCTTTCCTGAAAAAATGGATGGAACACATCCAATCATTCGAGTCCAGAAATTTGAAAGTGCTGAATACAATCGTAATTTATATTTTTTTGGTATTTTTATTGAAAAAAAAAAATTGTTTTCTTAATAAAAAAAAATAGGTGGTTATGAATCTGAGTTGGTATTCCTCATTGGTTGAAGGATTTTTAGATATTCTTCAAATTCACTTGAAATTCAAGCAGGCCACGCAGCGGTTTACTGCTGGTTGCCGTACTATTAGTTTGTATATTCAACATGCAGTCCAGGAAAAGCGGTAATCTTGGTAAATTGTAATTTGTTTATATGCAATGATCAGCTGCACTTAGTTTTGAGAAAGATCGTATATTATATTATTATTATATGGTCTTACCATCCTAAGTTTTTTAAATTTATTGTGTGTGTGGAAAATTTGTAATTATAGCTAGTCGGCCAAAGATTAATGTTGACACGTGCATTGTATTTTCGATAAAAACTGAAGAAAAAGTACCTCTCTATTATACACTGATACAACATATTCTCGGTTGGAACTGCATTGAGAAGAAATTCCTGTACCGAGGAAGCGCAGATCAACAGAAGAATAAATGGCACCAATTTAATTAATCAGTGAAGACTGGAGACAGGAATTATCATTTGCGTAGTAAAGTACGGCTCTGAAAATTAAGATTTAAAACAAGTGAATATTGTGGCGTCAGATGTTCGTATATAGGGATTGTTACAGATCAATCGAGAAAAAATCACTGGCTTATTGCATTCATATCTGCGGTTTGATTTAATTTGATTGACCAATACAAAAGAGACCTATTCATCACTTAAAAATCTCTATTTGGTAGATTATTATATAATAAAACATAATGGGCATATGTGAAAGTATGCCGATATAAAAGTATACAGTTAAGTTATACGCAAAATATGTGCACATACATAAAATATATGTGGGATACCCGTTTTTTCGGGGCAAATACAACGAAAGAAATGGAAAACAACATTAAAAATACGACCCTACTTGTGATGCTCCAGTTAAAGTTAAAAATTACACAAATTTCATAAAAATATTAATCCAGAAGAAAACGCCTTCAATATATTGCGACGAGTTTTCCGGCCGTTGATTGGGAAGAAGAAAAAATCAGAAATAAATTCGACTCCATCTAGACTTGATTATTGATAAATTGATACTTCATTTCACATTATTGTTTCTTTATAGGAATATTTTATAGTATTCGTCTGATATACGGGATGTGGCATGAAACTGTGTGGAAGCACTCACTGAGAGTTTTCTCTGAATTCATCGGTCCTAAAATTGGCACATACCAATCGACAACATGCTCTTTCTTATAAATGTTCGAATGCTATTAAAAATTAATTTTTGACGTAGCCATGTGGAAAAAGTTGCTGAACCAGCCGTATTCAATGAACTGAATGATGATAGCAGTCGGTCAACGAAATGTTTTCTTTTGCCCTTCAAAGATATTTAATCATTGAATCTGCTTAATTTAAACCTAACTATAAGTTTTAGAATCTTAATAACAAATAAATTTCTTCTTTAGTTCATTAGTAGCAATGGACGGCAGGTCAAACGTTGCTTGTTAAAATACTGGCAGATTTATTCTCCGAAGACGATTTCGGCTCGCGTTTCAGGATAAAACGTTTGTTAGAGGATTCGGATGATTTTGCAGTTTCTACGGGGGTTTTACCAGGTGTTTCTCACTTCTGTGCCTACTATTAGCATTTCAAAATCTCTATGTATGTTATGTAGAATTATATAGAAGGATTTTATGATTCAACCACAAACACAGTAACCAATTTACGATGCCGGATTTAAGCTTGAGGTGCTGTATTTTAGAATAAATATGGCTCTTCCAGGTAAGTAGGTGGATGCCGAGGTATTTAACTTCGGTTGCTTGAGGGACCATTACGTTGTTTAGTTTCAGTATAGGACATGATTCTGTCTTCAGAGTGAATGTGATATGCTTACACTTCTGATCGTTCACTTTTTAAGATAAATGCTGCTGGTTAAAAGCTATTGTTGAAATGCTGCTACCATTTCGCGGTAGATGCAAGTGTGAGATTTACATGTCAAGAAATGGCCGCCATTTGTGGCATTAACAAATGTCACACAGTATCTAGCGAATGCAAATATTTACTTCGGAAAGTGTTGCCCTGAAGTTGGTTTAATTACAGAAGAATAAAAATACCTATCGGTAATAAGGTTGCGTGGAATATTGAGAGAAAACTTCTTGAATCTGTCAATTTTATCGTATGTGCCTCGATCGAATCGTGCTGTTCTATAGGGTTTTCCATATCACGGTTTCGAAAACGAAATTCCTTTTTTATCATAACGTTTGAACCATCATCATCATACACATGACTGCAAATTTTTCAAAACTTCGATCTGCTTTAAACATAATCCCCTATGCATAAAAAAAGCGAACGACAGAGTGTGAAACCAGCATACCAATATTTTTCGCTTAAGAGTAAGCAAGGGGAAACCGGTTATGGTTCGAACCAGGGTTACTTTTTTAAATACGGCCAAACGCCGCCAATTTACAAAGTTGTTTCACTTAAGAACACTGCACAAGGCGAAGCCTGTGGTAGTCCGCCCCAGGGTTTTCTTTTTAACTTCGGCTGAAGACCACTAACTTACGAAGGTGTTTCACATAAGAATACTATACAAGGCGAAGTCGGTGTTGGTCGGCCCAGGGTAACTTTTTTAATCATCCGAAATAAAGTAACAATTTAAATTACAAATGCACGTTGTAAAGTAATGTACTGATAACAGGTAGTAATGTACTTTGCAGGGTGTATTCTGATGTAGGTCACTTATCAAAAATAAATTGGATTTTGTTTAATCTTGTCGTTTCTAAAGTAAACAGACGTGAGAACGCATTTCGTGTAAATGATAAAAAAAATATTAATTATTATAAGCGATCTTTAAGGGTTCCGTGTGATTATATAAGCTTTTATTTGGGAATTTCGTTTGGTCAAAATTTGAACTTTAACAACAAGTTACTCGAAAACAAAAAGTTACCTCAGGTAACGATATATATTTTTGTCATGTGTATGACCTCCACTAACACCACAAAAAAAAATCTTTTTTAAAGCCTGCCGCTTCTCGCACGGAACTATTTTTTTATACAGAATTCATTTATTTACTGGATCTGCTATAATATAAGCCTAACAGTTAGTGTACAAATCTTAAAAACGAAATTACAATCATGATAGCTCGAGTTATTTAAATCTGAACACGTTTCAAACAACGGTGCTCTCCTTAGAAGGCGAAAACATCCCTTCGCAGCAGGCGGGAATTTCTCGATGGGTTGCGATGCTAGCGGATTTGGATAATCTCTTAGTTTTGTGAAGTACTTCGTCCTGCTTATTTCAATCAGGCTTAACCAGTAAAATACCAAGGTCTTGATGAATGTTTACGTTACGAACGTACCATGATGCGCCTGTCAGTGTTCTTAAAACTTTGGACTGGAACCTCTGTATTTTATCAATATTAATTGCGCATATCGTACCCCACAGTTGCATACCATACATCCAAATTGGTTTTAATACTGCGTTGTAAATAAGGACTTTGTAGTCTAGTTTTAGACCGGAGTTTTTATTTAAAAGCCAACTTAAACTAGCTGCTTTTTATTTCATGTGTAGTATTTTTGAATCTATTGCATGTGTCTCTCCAAAGTGAAGTATACCGAGATATGTAATATCATTTACTTGGGGAATATTTATACCATTTAAGCGAATTGCAGGACATGATTGCGGTCTTGAAGTAAATGTAACGTGTTAACACTTTTGTTCATTAACTTTAGTTCTCCAGTTTTATAGCCATTCTTCGATGAGGAGTAAATGATCACTTATCGCTTTTGCCGCTCTTTTAGGGCATTTATCCCGGAATAAAATAGCTGTGCACTTTTCGGTTTAATGGGATGTCTGCAGTGTATATGAGATATAAAATAGGCCCGAGGACGCTACCCTGCGGAACACCAGCTTTTACCGGATACTCCTCACTGATAAATTCATATTGTTTAATGGTAAATTGTCTGTTAGTCACATATGACTTAAGTGTTATATAAAAATGAACAGGCAGAGCTTTATGTTTTTTGTACAGTAAACCTTTATGCCAGACTTTGTCGAACGCTTATGCTACGTCAAGAAAGATTGCACAGCAGTACTCCTTGAACTCGAATGCCTTTCTGATTTCATTAGTTATTCGGTTAACTTGTTCAATAGTACTATGCTTTTCGCGAATAAATTAGTATCTGCGACTTTTTCCACGCGTTTAGAAGGTATTTAGTTTTAGAATGGCATTAAAGAGTTCAAAGAGCGATGCTTGTGCAACTCTTGGTAGCTCTATTAGCATTTTTGATGTAATGAGGTTGTGGCCTGGAGATTTCTTTGGATTCAGTTTCTGTTTCGCGTTTACCACATCTAGGCTTGATATTTTAAATGCCAACTGATTTTCCTGTCCGTTAACAGCGAATTCCGGCAGAATAAAGTTTTTAGTTGCGTCATTTGGCTGGAATACATTACTTAAATGCTTTGCAAAGCAACTTGCCTTTTCTTCGTTACTACGTGCCCAGTTACCATTTGGGTCCCTGATTGGCATAATCATTTCTATTGGAGGCTTAAATTTCTTTTGTGCTTTCCAGAGCGAGTATTTTTTTGGCAGAATTTGGCGCTAGTTTTTCTATATATGCCTTGGCGTTGTGTTCTTCTGCTTGTTTCAGTGCACTTTCCAGCTCCCTCTCTGCTGCTTTCAACCGTAACTTTGCTGCTGGAGAGCGCTATTTTTGCCATTCTCCGCAAACGGCGCTTATTCTTTACTAGTTCTTCTATTTCTGTATTTGTTAGAATTTTTGGGCACGTCGTAGGCTTTTTACTTTTTTAGTTGCTATGGTTGCAGCAGAAACAAGGACATTATTTAGCTCATTAATGTAGTCATCCAAATCGTTTTCACAATTCAATATTGGGTTGATGTTAATATGACTACTAGTACATTTTTTGTATTTTAGCCAGTTGGCAGGTTTCTCTGCTTGCTAGTCTTGATTCTTGTGCAACTATCTTCGGGCGCTTGTAGATTTTTATTAGAACTGGTGAGTGGTCTGAAGACAACTCAGCAACAGCTGATTCAAGTTGCCTGTCGATTTTTCTTGAGACAGCAAAGTCTATTAAGTCAGGTATTTTCTTCCGATCGGTGGGCCAGTATGTTGGTTGACCTCGAGAAACACAATCCAAATTGTTACGTTGGTTTATATTGATATTGTATAGCTGACGGTCTTTGGGGTTTATTAGACGGGATCCCCAGTATACATGCTGTGCATTATAGTCTCCTCCTTCTATGAATCTATCACCAAGATTATCAAAAAATTCCTTAAATTGGTTTTCTGTGATCTTAAATTTTGGAGGGCAATAAATTGCTGGGAGATTTAGCTCTTTGCCATATTTATTCAAGGTTATAGAGGTAGCTTGTAGATAATTGGTGGCGTAGGGCTGTAAGACGCAGTGTTTAAGGCGGTTTCTTCGAAGTATTCCAGTTATATTTATCCGTCAAGTGCGTTTCAGATAACAACATTACGTCTATAACATACTCTGTTAAAATTCGTGCCACTTATAATATATGTTGGTTCACACCGTTTGCATTCCATAAACAAACGTTTAGCACACTCATTTTTTGCATGGAGGTTTGTTGCATGTTATTATGGGCTTTAATCAAGTCTTGGATCATGCTTTGCATAGTTGACATGAACTGTGTCAAGCACTGCGTAAGGTTTAAAATCATAGATTCTATACCTCCATTAGATTGGTCGGCGAGTCTGAATATTATTTGCCAACCTAACTTGTAGATCTTTATACACAGGGCAGCCTCT